CCCCAAAACCCCAAAACCCCAAAACCCCAAAACCCCAAAACCCCAAAACCCCAAAGCTAGAGATATATATTGTAAAATTAAATAAAATGTCAATTCTAGCTTGTATGACTGGTAAATATGCAGCTCAGCATTCGCCTAAAATCACCAGTCCTAAAAAATCTAAATCAAAGAGCAAGACAATATGGCCTGCTTCTGGGGAAGGAAGGTAAGTTGTTGATATCTCATATTATAATACCAACAGGTATCTCCAAAGAAGACACAAGAAAGACGCATTTTTATTCCAAAAGAGCCCCAAAAAATCCTCTAAAGCAAACATCTCCATCCAAAAATCCTTTAACATTTCCTATGCCAGTCGAATGAAGTCCAAGACTCAGAGAGGAGTGAAGCCTTGAGACACTATATTTCTCCCTAAGAAGCCTATAGAGCCTGTAGAATTCCCTAAACTAAAAGAACAAGACCAGGGTCAAGACCAAATCTTAAAAACCCATTCTTCCCAAAGTAGGCCTCCATTCTCACCCACAGAGCTATTCCCTACACTGTGAAGTTCCTTCACGAAGAAATCTTTTACTAGCCACGAGGTAAGCAGCCGGTTTAGAAAGAGAAATAGAAGGGACTTTTAGGCTTGAAGCTGGAATTTCGGGAATTTGAGGCGGCATAGGTGAAGGAGGACAAAGAGTTTATAAAGAAGTTTGTGAATAAGCAGAATAAGATTAATAAAATTATGAGCAAGACGTATAAGAATATGAGAAATGATTTTGAAATTGATCAAAAGTAATTTTAGTGAGGTTATTTTGTAGGAAAGCGATTGTTCAGGCTCAACGGTGAAGTCGGGAAATTTGAGATGAAGAAAATTGGAAAACTCTTGAACCAAATTATATCGTTAATATAGAAACGAAGTAATTTATGTCTTTCATATATATAGCTCCACGTGCTCCTGTTAATACTCCTAATACTTCTATTCCTCTTTCCTCGTCCAAAATTACAAAAAATCCGAACTAAATCATTTCTTCCAAAAAAGCGTAGCCCAATCCTTAAAATAAGTCCTCTAAAAGGTACATACCCAAAAATAACTAAACCTTTAGTCAAAAAGCTATTTCAAAAAGATTTTAAGACTCCTTTTACAAACGATTTCATCCAGAAATCTCAGTCAAACTCTCTCACTCCAATTCAAAGTCAAAGAGAGATCGATTTACAGCACTCAAAAGCACTTAAATCTCATTGGAATCACCTTCTCCCCAAGAAATCACCTTCAGTATTTTCTTCTTCAGATCTGCAAAGCTCAAATAATTTAATCCCAATGCTAACTACTCAGCAACCAAAAATGTACTGTATAAAGGAGAAATTGTCTAAGAAAGCAGAGACACAGAGAGAATGGGCAGCCAAGCTGGGGACTGGCCCCAGCTTAGGGGCTCATAGCTCTCTATCATCTTTGAAGGCCTTTTCTACAAGACAGCCGATCCGTTTGAAGAACAGCAAGGTATCAAAAGAAGGAGCACTTCTGAGTCATAAGGAATTCAAGTTTGATTCTGCCAAGGATCGAAATCGGCTGAGCCTTGATATTTCAAAACTGATTAATTACTGTTCACCCTAAGTGCTCTCAATAACTAAAGTTGTCAAGATTCAATCTAGAATGAATAAAACGGGGTTTTGGGGTTTTGGGGTTTTGGGGTTTTGGGG